CCTGTGATTGCCTGGCAGGCCCTCATACTTTGTATGAGGACATGCATAGCTTTGTAGAGAGGACAGAAAACCCATGTCCTATTTCCGTCCTGTAGCCTAAGTATGAAAAGAGGACTAGCCCTTAATTAACCTTTTCAATGTTCAGGAGGTTTTCGGCAGTGCAGTGAATTACAGATGAGCAGTGTTGGAGTTGTGGGAGTGCATTTGGGCAGAGGCGACAATGACGCTGACTGGTTGGCATATGCTGTGGTATGAGTGATATCTTCTCTCAGAGGACATGCTGTCTATGTGGGAATCTTTTAACATTCAGGATTTTTAATGCTGGGGTAGCAAAGAACAGTGACTGCCAACATTGCACGTAAAAGCAGTGACGCTTGAAATGAATATGTGCGGAGCACTTTTAGGAAGTATAGGAAACAGAAGAGTAGTCAGAGAAAGAGAGATGGTGTAAAGCAGCAGGATGGGAAGATAAACACATATGTGTACTTTGAAGATTATACTTTCTAGGGAGAGTTCAGTTAAGGACAGGATGTGTTCAGGACACCAGAATAATTGAGAGGAGGAGAGAACTAATTCTTACAAACAGTGTGGGAGCAAAGGAATAGGAGGGAATGGAACAGGTGAACATTTTCAAATGTTTTTTTCTGTGGTGGCAGATGTCTGTAATTGTTTCAGGAGATGGTGCATTTATAATAAATCTTCCTATCACTGAAAGCCAGAACCACAGAACGTTTTACATTTGATCAATATGCAAACAGATTATAATCCTCATCAAATACACTCTGGTTTTCTTATTTCTCACTCTTTTGTTATAGCTTTATTATAAGTGGTTATAGCTTCATTTTTAGAAGTGTCACTAATGGAACCTAAACTGTGGAAGACTGTGTAATATTTAAAGCAAATATTGACATGAAGTGATGTATTGCGTGCCACAGACTATTTTTATGAGCATTTACAGGGTGCGCTGGGCAGAGCTGATCATGTCCATTCTCACGTTTCTGAAACATAGATTGCAATGAGTTATCAAATTTAAAAGTATGGACAATAATTGGATACAAAAGCTGGAAGAATTCTGAAAGAAAAACAACAATTCATCTTGTTCTGATCTACAAGCTATAGAAATTATGATGCTAAGCAAATATTTTTAAAAATTCATCTTGTTTTTGAATCCTTTATACAGAGAAATTATTGTGAAATTTAGGGGAGGAAAAAATGGTTCTTTATGGCAGGAAAATTTTGCTTTGCAGAATATTTTGCATTTGTCCATTTTGAAGAGCCAAATAGGTTTCAAGGGTAGAATTTTGTCTGGTTGAATTCTGTAAGTGAGCCTTCGTGTTTTATGCACCCTAACTAAATTCAAGAAGATGTGAAAGTACACAGTGTGCTTCTTTAGAGAGGTGTCAGATGTAGAGAGTTTAGTTTATAGTTTATTTTACTAGAAGAACCAAATATAATGTGTTCCATCTAAAAGTTTAGAAACACAGGTCTATGCAGTCAGGGACAGGTAGTCCATGGACATTTCCGGAAAGCTTCAGTGTTAAGATGACAAATACCCAGGTCTGTTTTATCAAGAAAGCTGTAGCATCACCTGCCATAGTATTGGAGGAGTGGAGAGATGGAATGGAAATGTTGCTGTTGCATCTTAACTCACCTTTTGATGAAGACATTTCCCCCACACATGCTTGGAGTAAGTGGAAAGCAGGTGCTGGAACCATCTTCCCTCTGGTATAATTGCTCAGAGTAAGTCACAGGATCAATTTTATCTTTCCTTGTGCCTTAGATTGTGGGTTCAGCTAACACGTCCAGTGACACTTCTGCCTCCAATGGATTGTACCTGTGTTATTAAGAGTATTGAGAGATTGTGTTCTTGCCATGGAAAAGTGTGTGTTGCAACTGTCTTTTCTGCTCTCCCCATGTGCTTTCAACACTTCTATTCTCAGTTTTCTCCAGCACACCTCCATGTGTGAAAGCTGAATTGTAAAGCATGCCAGTTTCAGCCGTCATAAGGTTGTCATGCATTTTTGTGACTAGATTATCTAGTGTAGTTATTTTTTAGACCAAGACATAAATATTTTGTTGTTCTGAAGAGGAAACTCTTATGTTTGTTGTCAATGTTAGAAATAACGAAAATAGTTAGGCACAAGTCTCTAACTTCCTTTTTTTTTCCAAAAGCCTCTTGCTTTTCTACAGTGGAAAAAAGCCTGTCTTCCTTTATTGTTGGCAGCTCTGCACACCTGGAGGTTTGACTGGGAACATGTTCTGAAAGGAGATGCTTTAAATGGGTGTTACTCTGTGGAAAGCTAAATCTCCCATAACTGTTACTGCCATGCTCTTATTTTTAATTAAACAGTTTGGTGTAACTATTAATCACTTCAATTATTTCCATAATTCCAACTCCAAGGCAGCTTTGTATTTTTAGCTGGCTAAGTCATATCACATGGCCATGACTTTCAAGGCATTGTCCAAGGGAGAGAAATAACATACTTGGAAAAAGCTTATTAGGCTGGAAGGCAGAGGTGTTCTCAGTGACAAGTCCTCCTGGTTGTTTTGCAGCCCCTGCTTGGCTGCCTGTTTGGAAGCAGCCTCTATGCCTTGAACTAGAGTGTTTAGGAAAGGACAAGACTTCTTTGGTGTATGGAAATCTGATGAAGAACAGTAGAGGTGTAAAAGGCCCAGCTAGCCAAGTTTTTGCTTGTTCTTATGTAAGCCAATCTCCCAAATGCCTCATTGTGAGAACACAGAAAACATCTCATTGAAACCTGTGACTTAAATCCTTCCCAGAGCTGGGCATCCTGCCCAGCTCCCTCCATCCTAAAGTCTCCTACAAAAGGGATAAAGACCATGAATCCAGAGAGGACTGGGAGATTATTGGTCCAACAGACACTCCCTATTCTCCACCTGGATATGAAGCCAGTGATGACTTAACTCTATGCACTAGTGTAAAGGTTAGAGGAAACCCCAACCTTGCGCTACTTTGTGGTGTAAATGAAGTGCTAGAAGACAATGGAAAGCAACTCAAAATGCAGCACAAGAAAGATTAGTCCCATGTCAGTGAACGATTTAACCTGATTCATCCATTGTTCCCCTGTGTGCAAAGTGAGCCCTAGTGATGCATCAGTCATTGGCTGTAACTTGGTGTATAGGGTAGGTTTTTTTCTTTCACTAATAAATATGTCCCAATTCCCATGTTTCTGAGGTTTTGGTTATAAGGCTTACAGCATGTTACAAAAATACTGAGAATTATATTTAGAGCAGTGGTAAAAGATAGCTTAAAATAATTTATCTTTTTCAGGTTGCTCCCTAAACCTAAAATTTCACAGACATCATTATTATTATCTTACAGGCCAGATTTATCTTTTAGATTAATCAGTGAAAAGTGCTTGATCTACAAAGGTGTTTTAGAGATAGATTGTTAGAGGATAACAGGCTGAGTTCAGAAATTGATGTAGTCTCATAAAAACTGGTAGAGGTTACACTGAAGCTAACAGATTCAGTGAAAGTCTATCGCAAAGCTGTAAGAGGGCTAGGTATGTACATTAAATGTGATGATAAAATTTCTATGGTATGTGCTTGTTTGTCCTAACATTCACCTTATGCCTGCTGGTGGCAAATTCAGCTATGCACAAAATTATTTCCAGGTGAGCTTTTTGATCAGAGAACTGATTGTAGGGGAAGCATATGTGCAAAATGCAGTGGGGTCAGGCTGCCCTCCTTGTAGGGCCCTACAGAACGGTGGGGCAGCTGAGACCAATCTTGATTTAATCTTGATTTAATCATCCCAGGAATACACAGAGGTCTACTGTTTCAGGGAGCAGACAGAAAGACAAAACTGCAAATTAAATGTGAACGTGAGTGCTGATTCTCACTGTAAATATTTTCTGTTCTGAATTTATGGTAAGTAAGAAACAGTGGAATAAGAAAATTATGGTGTTCTAGACAGATAAAGATTACAGGCTTTTTAATAGAGGTACTCCTGTGATGCCTAGTGAGCATCTGTTGGTAACAAAGTGCTTGGTTAGATTCTTGCACACCTTGCTTGTTCATCTTCTCATTCCAGGCCTCCACCCCTGCTGGAGGCTGATTTTTTTTAAATCTGTTTTTAAAATATCCCTGAAAGAATTTGCACTTAGAAAACTCTTCTGCTAGTAGCAGAACCTTTTGTAAGGAAAGAGGTCATGAACTACAGTGTCTTAAAGGCCAGATTTCTGAAGGTATTTAAGTGCTTATAGTGGAAGTTGAATATCTAGATGCTTTTGGAAATACCTCAAGATGCCTAGCTGTGTTTGAAGATGCTTTAATAAATTTATTCCAAGAGGTTTGTCTAAGGTGCAGTTAGTCACTGCTACAGTTGAAAAGGGAAACTTTCTCTTACTGCTATAGCCGTTAATCATTTTTGCCCTCTTTATGACAAAGTGATGGGGAAATATAACTGTTTATAGAATGTGATGGAATAGGAAAGAAATAGCAATGTTTTATAAAAGAAAATTGAAGTTCAGCTTCTTTTGAGTAGTAGACTTCTGTAAGCTCAGGCTTGTAGCTGTACTACCACTGTTTGTAAAGTCTCTATAATCACCACATGGTTAATGAAATTGCTTGCTAAACCCTTTTTACAGTGTGGTTGAGGATCTGTGAAGTATTAGTTAACAGGTCTTTGAGAGAATTTGGTCTGTTCAATGCATTTTGGTAGTAAAAATCACATGCTATTATTTCTCTTTTCTGGTTGATCATAGTTCTTGTTGCAAACCTAGTATTTGGTTTGAGTATTTGATGTTTCCAAGTTTTCATTCGTTTTTCTTGATATCATCTCATTTACTTACAGACACAGAGTAAGTATGAATGCCAGGTGAAATTATTTTTTGTGTGTTTACAAAAAACAATGATACAGTCTCCAGAAGTAGGTTTTGTTAGTATAATCTTTTTACCCTGTTTTTCATCATTACTGCATATTCTCAGTCTACTGTTTTTCTCATCAATTGTTTTTGTTTCCATTAACCAGGATGCTGAGAAGCTGGCTGGTGAAGAGCATGCCTGGAAAGAAGTCAAAGATGCTGTAAATGAAGTGAAATACCCAAAATCAAAAGCAGGTATCCTTTCAGTGACAGGCTACTGTCTGTCATGAAAACAATCCATAGTGCCCCTTAGTAAGCAGTTCATCTTTTGAGATTTATTTCCTAAAAGTTTACATTCTTATGTTGTTTTAAAATGTATTTTTAATTCATTTCATGTTTATACCATGTAATATTCTTAATTGCATTAATAATAATAGGGTATCTGATTACTTGGACTGGAACTGCTTCATGGCAAGGATAGTAGGTACCTGGGATGTAAAGGGATATTTTAGCTCAGGTTTAGACTTCTGCCATCACAGCCCACCATTTCATATAAATCCACTTCTAAATGAGATAAAGCTTAATCTGAAACGTTATTGAATTCTTTGTCCCATTGCTCCCATTGTGAACATTTCCAGGTTCTCATTCTTTGCACAGCAATGACAATAACAAGGACGTAATCGCAGTCAGGTTCATTGCAAACATTATAGAATCGTTATAATAAGTTGGTTTTATTATTATAATTATATATAATAATAATTGATAATTAAGCAAATTGAATGAGATTGTCTTGCACTAATAAACAGAACTGGAGCCTAATGTACATAATGTAGATATTTATTCCAATTAAAAAAAACTAGTGAACAGCAACAACTGAGAGAAGATGAGCAGTAAAGAGGTAGATACTTTGACTAGAGGGCTATGAGTATATTGATCTCTCTCTCATCTTAGTCTATTCAGTGGAATTTCACTGACGCTGAATTTGGCCTATTTAGCAAGATACTTTATCGCTTCCAGAAACACGGGCTGTCTCTGGAGCTAGGAAGAATTCAATCTCTCAGTAGTTCTTTTCAGCAGCAAAAAGAAGAAGTTTGCATAGCGATATTTCAGACTGGAAACAAGTGATCGCAATTTTTATTTTAACAAAAAAAGCCAACAACTGAGTTTATTTCTATCTAATCCAGAGAGATTAATTTTTAGCAAAAGGGAAACACGCATCTCATGTAACTTTAATCTTCATCTAGTTTCTGGTCTGTCTTAAGTTCCTCTGTAGTCACTGGATAGAGACAGACAATACTGAAACAGAACTTCAATCATTCGGGTCCCATGTTTTAACCTGGAAGTTAAATCATAGATATGCAACATGCAGTTGCAATCGTTTTTATACTGAAAGTATGGAGCCAGAATACTGGTCCTATTTAATGTTCTTATACTTAATTGCAGGAGAAATTGCAACTGCTGAATTTTGCTAGGATCTTTAATTAAGATTACTCATTTAACTGATACTTAAAAATGAATCAAACACATTGTAGTAAAAGGAATCAGGACTGGTTGAGAAAATCTATCCTCATTGTCTGTTCAGCTTCTGTTCTCAGACACAGGCTGTTTGAAATCTGTCATCTTTCCTTCCATTGCACCACAATACCGGTGCTAATTGGCATCCAGTGTCGAGTGCAGTACCTGAAGAGAGGGCTTGACATTTGTCCGCTTGCCAAAAATGAACAGAAAACCTTCCTTGCTGACTGAGGCACATAGTCGTTATCCTCTGCAAATGTAATTTTTTAAGCATATTAAACGAACAGTTCCTACAGTTGAGAAAGCTGGTGACTTCCAAAATCTGAGCTACTCATTATAACTGATACAGTGTTGTAATGCTAGATCTGCAGTTAGAGAACTTGAAGTGATCTGTGTGAGTGAACTGTCTCAGAACCAAATTACAGATTGCAGTTTAAGCATACAAACGGAGATGATAAAGCCCAGTTGTCGTGGTTTAGGCCGATCCAGCAGCTAAACTCCTCACAGCCGCTCACTAACCCTCCCCCACCCCCTGGGGACGAGGAAGGGAATTAAAGAAGAAAAAGAAGAGAGACCCGTGGGTTGAGATAAGAACAATTTATTACTACTGCTACTATGTACAATGATAAATATGCACAAATGAGTGATGCGGTGTAATTGCTCACCACCCCTTGACTGAGGCCCGTCTTGTCCCAAACTAATGATCCCAACACAGATAAGTCTGGATATCGCAATCCTGGAGGAGCAGGAGGCCCGAAAATAGAGAGCGACACAGAGAGAGCACTCTGAGAGTCTGAGAGCGAGAGTCCTGGAACAGCAAAGGCCCTTCTTTCCGGCTGTCCCTCACTTTTATGCTGGGCATGATGCTGGATGATATGGAATACTAATTGGCCAGTTTGGCCCTCAATCCTAAGTTCAAGTACAAATCATAAGGAGAGTCGTGGACCCCTTGTCCCGGCTATGCTCCCCCCTTATCCCGTTGTGCTCCTGCACTCTGGCAAGAACCCGGCAGCTGAAAAGTCCTTGAGACCTCAGTGCCAACTACAAGCATCAGTGCACTGTCAGCATTCTTCTCAGAGCGAGCCTCTGAGTAAAACCAAAACACGGAGCTCTTCTAGCTGCTAAAAAGAGGAGCTAACGCTGTCCCAGCTGAAACCAGGACACCAGTGCAAGGGGATTATTGTGGAGGATTCCTTTGCATCTCAGGCCATGCAACAGTATCAGAGCTGCTTGAGGGCTGCTCCTCCAGTCTTGGGCAGATATAGGAAAGCCAGCTTCTCTTTTGTCTTGTTGCAGCTAATAGTGGGTTTTCTAGTTTGCAAGTTATATACCTGAAGGTTTGGTCCCAACAGGTTTTGCAATATAGCACATCTGCTGTTAGATGCTAGTGAGTGAACAAAGCAGTATAATGAGAAGTAAAAGCAGACAAATTAATACTATGCATCAGCTAAAATGGTAATCTTTCAAGAATGTCAGTGCTTTCCACAAAAATTGTATCAAGTGGAAATAATATCCCTCATTCTTCTGTTTGTCTGTCCTTAATCAGTTGTAAAGAATACATGGATGTTTGCCAGAGATATAAAGGTTAAGGTGCAATTTTATAGTAACACATTCCTTCCCTTATAAGGTTCTTTCAATCCAAGGGCATGAGAGCAATTCACAAATAATTAGTTTAGCCCTGTAACAACCGTGCTATAAACCCTGGCCCAGCCACATAGTGGTCACATTCTTAAATTTAAGTATGTAAATATTCCCAGGTTCAGGAAGGACTAATTACTTCATCATAGGCTTATTGTTGTACACTTAAATCCATTGCTGGATTGGGATGAATAGTATTTTCAGCAATGTCATGAACATAACTGCTGAACTTTATTGAGTTGATTGTATGGAAAAGACTGTGATACAAACAATATTATTGCTTCTCTTACTATAAGTCTAATTATTTTTTTAATTATTTTATTTATTCTTACTGGTGTGTATGGTGTCTTTTTGGTGTTTAGACTGCTTGCATCTGGGAGTCCCATAAAGTCCCAGATGACACGAATCATTTAAAATCGGAGAGTATTGATGTTCATTTTAGGTGTGGTCAGAGAGGGAAGAATCTGATCCACAGAGAAGTTAAATCGGTGTAGAATGTAACGAAAATAAGTGATTTGTAGTAAGGAATTTCCAGCTAAAGTGAATGCAAACCCAGCTTATTTCTGCTCTCTTACAAACACACAAAATGTCTTCTTGTAGCATTGGAGGTAAAAACCTCTTTACAGCCAAGATCCTTAATCCTGAACTACACTCAGACATCAGAACTGTGAAATTTTTCTTTCTCATGCATGAAACATGCAGCTGTACATGAAAAAAAATGCTCTTTACAACTGTTTCAAGGAGAAACAAAATCAATTAATTGCAAGAAAAGGTTCTAATTTCATGAGAATTCTAAACCAAATCTTGGGCAGCTTAAAAGTATGTGTCATTATTTTAATATAGAAAAAATTAAATTTCTTTTTTTAGCTGCTGAGACGTTTTGTTAAGAAATATTTCCATGGGTTCTTGCCCTTGGGTGTAATATTTGGAGGAGTATCTTAAATAAATAATAATGTTTCAGCAGCTTAATAAAAAGTATTTGAATTTTAGTTTGTTATGTATTAAAATATCCTTTCATCTTGTCATCTTTGTTTTACCCTTTATTGCTGTAATATTCCTTCTTTAGAAATTGTTTTGCTAAATGTAAATAAAGTGTAGTTACCTAAGCTACCAGTTCTGAGTTCAAGTATGTTTTCAAGAATTGAAGCAGAGTCTGGAATGATGGCAGCATTTTTATCTTAATGCTCTTACTCCTTGCTAACAACATTTAAAACTTGTATTTTTGTTTGATTAAAGATATTTCTTTAACAAAGTCTAATAACAGAGTGGGAACAGGTTCTGACAAGATGCCAGAATTTCTTGAGCAGCAATATGGGTCATCTTCCAGACACAAATATCTATCAGCTGAAGATGCTTGACTGTGCCATGGATGCCTGTATTAACCTTGAATCCTGGGAAGAAGCTTTGTATTATGGCAGCAGGACTCTGGGACCATACAGGTAAGAGACATAATTGGTTCAACTGTTTCCAGAGATGCGGGGAGAGAGGGCTATCTCATTAAAGGCAAAGACCGTGTTTCATCTAGATGTTTCTTACTCTTTTTATTTCTTGCTGTGCATCTTGCCTCGCTTTCCAGGTTAATGGATGAGGCAGAACTCCCATTTTGCTTCCAGTCAGACTGAGAGCATATAAAATGATAATAGGAGCTATAATAGTAACTGATTATTAGCTGCTCACTGTTTCATGTGTTTGGATGCTGTCCCATCCCTGAACAAAAGCTGACTTTCTAGTTCAGACTCCATTGCCATGAGAGTATCAGTGGTTTATGCTGAGCTAGGTTAAGATTGAGGGACAGGTAGCTGGCTGAAATAATGTCTACAGATGAATATAATATGATGAATTAATACAATATAGATGAATGAAATAAAGTCTATAGATAGAGGTTATAGAAAGAATAAAAAAAAAATCATGCAAAATGCAGTTTCAACTGGAAATGAAAAAGCTCCTGGTCCTTATTTTGGGAGGGGGCCAAGGTGGTGAAGCACTTGTTCTTCTCTCTTAGTCAGTACTTGCTCCTGTGCTATGTGCTGGGAGAGTTTCTGAGTCTAATGACCTTTTATCGATAAGGAAAGATGCTCTAGGAGATCTTGCTCCATGTGGTAGGTCTTGAAATTGATTGAAACCTGGAGCTGTAATGCAACTTTGGTCATCTAGTGGAGAAAGGGCAGGTGCTGTCTGCTTTGGTCTCTGTTCTAAAAGCTCTAAGATTCACATCTTTAGGTTCTGGATATTCGTGGTGTTTGTAACTAAATGTAAACCTGTACTGAATGTCCAGATATAATGTCCACACATGAATATTCATTCTCGGTAACTTTTTTAGAGCATCCATTTCGTCTCTGTTGGTTATTGTACACCATGTGATGTTCCAGTACATAGTGTGATGTTGAGAAGTGTGAGGGGCATGCTAGTGCTGGACAATATGTGCTGCTGTGAATATGAACATCTCAGATTTTACATGTCTTCCCTGATCAAACCAGGATGCCATCAGCATTCAGCATTTTGCCTGAGGAAATTTCATCTGGTAGGCTGTTTCTGAATAAAACTCTGGGCTTTGCTTGAGAAACAACAGTATTTTGGAGCTTTCACTATAAAGTAACTAGCAGGAAATCTGCATAGGCTGTGCTAGAGCTGTAGAGAAGCTTGATGTTCGTAATGACTATTACTTCTCATAGAGGAGGACATGAGTGCCTACAAATTCTCACGTTTCCTCAGGGTGAAATTCGCATTGTGCATGTCCCACTTAACCTTTCAAATGGGGCTTATGTAGTACTGCAGCAGTACATGCTTTCTGCCAGCCTTCTACCGTGTGGCACGCTCCAGATGAACAGAGTAGTATGCCTCTTTAGATGTTCCCTTATTGAATTAAAAAAAAAAAACTCACTTGTTTTTTATTTTATAACTTGTTAACTCAGTTCTTCACAACTGAAAACAGGATTTTTCTATAGACATTTCCAAGAGTAGAGATTACAGTGAGACCATGTGCAATTTTACCAGATAATTTAATAAAGTTTTCTCGGTTTTGGTTACTGAAGTGTACTGTAGTTTTCAAGCTGTTTAATGCAGGAGTTTAGAGATGAAGGAAAAGCTTCAACTGTGCATTCAATTAGTATCTCTTAAGGGATGCTATTTCCATGAGATAATTGACCTTTTTGCACCTTGCACCTTGAAGAGATTGTCCTTGCTCTTTCCTCATCCAAAAGCATTATTTAAGAGATATTTTCAGTTGTTTTTTTCTTTTTACCTTCAAGTCATCACTACAAGCTTTGACACACCTGAAACAAAATCCTCAGTTTCTCATTACAGTGAATTGTGCCCTAAGCGGCAGGAGAGCAAATCCTAGGAAATCTTTTGGGATGCATTGAATTTCTCCTGTTGAATCAATCTACTGCTTGGCTGCTCCTGCAGTTCCATTATAGCTATCTACTTTCTTTTCCTCAGCTCTGGAAAAAGTATTCATGCAGCTCTCCACAGGGAATCGCCTTAGAATTCGAGCAGTCCATATAAATAGGAAATCATTGTTACAACTTTAAAAGCTCTGGAGATTTGGTAAAAAACAATTTTAATTTCAGGTAATGTGTTTATTGTGTATTTTCCATTTCTTTAGCAGCAGGATTAATTTTCAGTGCTGTGTGACGCAGTACATCGTAATGTCTGTTTTCATTATGATGGTTGCTGGCTTTTTCAGAATCATCCACTTCATGTAACTGGCAGAGACAGATGGTTAAACTACATAAAACTGATTTGTCATATGTAATACTGACCTCTATGTTTTAGATAGTGACAATAACCTATGAGGAACATTGTTTAGGACCTCTCAAATATTTTTAGAACTTCCAAAATAAGGGGAGATGGCAGCTGTCAAAATGAAAAGCTGCCTTCTCTTTTTGTGCTGAACCACAACTGTCTATTATTTGCTAAAATCTACAACATGTACTTTCACTGAATAGCCTAAGCCGAATGTATTATGCAGCTTTTCCTGTAAATGTCACAGTAATTGTCTGTCCAAAAGCCTTAACAAAAGTTAAGACGTTTGCCTAAGTGAAAGCTGCCCCACATCATAGTCAGCACTCAGCAGATTGCAAAAATAAACTTCCTTTCAAAAATCCTCATGAGCCTTAACCACAGAATAACAGAACATCAGCAAGAGGTGTTACATGGGTTTGTCATGTCTCAGTTAGCACATTCACACTCTGGGCATACTGCTGCTTGTGAAGGATTGTGTTCAGAGACACTGAGTAAGGCAGACTTCCCTTAGGTTACCTCTGAGGAAGGACCCCAGTGTTTAGCCCTTAAATTGCAGAGAAGGCACTTATGTTCCAGGGATTAGGTTGGGGTTTGATTGGGTTTTTTTCCCTTGTCTCAAGTATTCAGTGCTTACATTGCAGCCAAACAGTGGAAGTATGCATCTGTTATAAAACTCTGCTGGATGTCCTCAGCTGTTGCCACGAGAGTACTGTGGGGAAAAGAATTGGCTAAGTGACACCATGGACATACTGGATTTCGGAAGCATAAGGGACTGGGTAAAGCCGTGTTACCTCTCTGGGCTCCTGTGCCATCAGGTCTGGTGAGATTCTGATTCAGAGAGGATAAACATGTTTGTCTGTTTCTTTTCTGCGCTGCTCATAATCCCCTGCTGAAGTTAAAGCTAATGTATGACTCCCACTGCTTTTCAGATGGGCTCTTTTAATTAACAACCCTTCATCTTCAGTGCTGCAACATTAGGAGTTACTGGAGGGCTCCAACATTAAGAAGAGAAAATTCCTTCTTTTCATCCCATACCAAAGCGTCGT